GGCTTTTCATAGATAGCTTTTATGATATTGAGGTATGTTCCCTCTATCCCTACCTGGTGAAGCGTTTTAATCAAGAAAGGATGTTATACTTTCTCAAATGCTTTTTCTGCATCTATTGAAAGGATCATATGGTTCTTCTCTTTTCTTTTATTAATGTAGTGTATCCCATTGTGTGGTTTGTGGATGTTGAACCACCTTTGCAGCTCAGGGATAACTCCCACTTGGTTGTGGTGAATAATCCTTTCAACGTACTGTTAGATCCTATTGGCTAGCATTTTGCATTCATGTTCATCAGGGATAATGGTGTGTAATTTTCCTTTTGGGGGAATATTTGTCTGGTTTTAGGATCAAGGTAATGCTGTGCTCCTAGAAAGAGTTTGGAAGTTTTCAATCCATTTTTTTAATGTTTTGAAACAGCTTCAAGAGTATAGGTATTAATTCTTCTTTAAATGTTTGGTAGAATTCCCCTGGGAAGCCATCTGGCTGTGGACTCTTGTTTGTTGGGAGGTTTTCATTACTGCTTCAATTTCCTTGCTGTTCAGATTGTCTGTCTCTTCCTGTTTCAGTTTTGGTAGTTTACACATCTCTAGGAATGCATCTATTTCCTTCAGATTGCCTCATTTGTTGGCATACAGTTGTTCATAATATGTTCTTATAATTGTATGTATTTCTTCAGTGTTGGTTGTGATCTACCTTTTTCATTCATATTTTTATTTTTTGGGTCCTTTCTCTTCTTGATATGTCTGGCCAGGGGCTTATCAATCTAATTAATCCTTTTAAAGAGCCAGGCCAGGTCTTAGTTTCGTTGATCTGTTCTACTGTTCTTTTGGTTTCTATTTCATTGATTTCTGCTCTCATCTTTATTTTTGCTCCTCTCCTGCTGGGTTTAGGTTTTATTGGCTTCTATCATTGGCTGCTCCCATATTAAGGGCCTAAATATTTACAATTGTTAGATCTTCTTGTTGGATAGACCCTTTAATTATGACATAGTGTCCTTCCTCATCTCTTATTACAGTCTTTGGTTTAAATCTTATTTGTTTGATGTAAGGCTTGCCACCCCAGATTTCTTTTGACATCCATTAGCATGATAAATATTTTCCACACCCTCACTTTAAATCTAGATGTATCTCTGGGTCTATAGTGAGTCCCTAGCAGACAGCATATCAATGACTATTGGTTTTTTCTTCAATCTGATCACAGTGTCTTTTGATTGGAGCATTTAGTCTATTTACATTCAGAGTGATTATTGAAAGATATGGGTTCAATGGCATTGTATTACCTGTAAAGTCACTGTTTCTGTAGATTGTCTCTGTTCCTTTCTGGTTACTATTGGGCTCTCTCTTTGCTTAAAGGGTCCCTTTTAATATTCTTGTAGGGCTATTTTGGTGATCCAAATTCTTTTAGTTTTTATTTGTCCTGGAAGCTTTTTATCTCTCTTTCTATTTTGAATGACATCCTAGCTGGATAAAGTATGCTTGGCTGCATATTTTTTTTCATTTATCACCCTGAATATATCGTGCCAGCCCTTTCTGGCCTGCCAGGTCACTGTGGTTTGGTATGCTGCCAACCTAATGTTTCTACCTTGTAGGATATGGACTTATTCTCCTGAGCTGCATTCAAGATTTTCTCTTTGTCTCTGAGATTTGCAAGTTTCACTATTATGTGTTGTGGTGTGATCTAATTAATTGATTTTGAAGGGGGTTCTCTGTGCCTGGTGGACTTGAATGCCTCTTTCCTTCCCCGGGTTAGGGTAATTCTCTGCTTTAATTTGCTCCAAAATACCTTCTGCACCCCTCCTTTTCTCTTATTCTGGGATCTTAATTATTCTAATATTGTTTTCCTTTATGTTATCACTTGTCTCTCAAATTCTCCCCTTGTGATCCAGTATTTGTTTTTCTCTCTTTTTCTCAGCTTCTTTTTTCTCCATCATTTTGTCTGCTATATCACTAATTTTTTCTTCTGCCTCATTATCCTAGCCTTCAGAGCCTCCATTTTTTGTTGCATTTAATCATCAGATTTTGTGCTCCACTGCTCTAGCACTTTCTGGTAGCCAGCTTATGGAGTCTCCCTCCTCCCAGGGTTTATCTTCTGATATATCACCCCAGATTCACATCTCCAGCCTCCTATTTTGCAAAAAGTGGTCACTTTTCTATTTGTAGAGTTGCAGCTATTCTTTTCTTAGATCAGTGGTTGTTGAGTTTGCAGGAGTTCAGGATGATCTAATACTATCTAGCTGAATTCCTGGGAGCAGATGAAACTAAGGTCTCCTCTCATCTGCCTTCTTGGACTTCTCCTGATTGGTTCTTAAATATTTATTTATTTATTTATTTATTTATTTATTTATTTATTTATTTTAGAGAGAGAAATAGAGAACATGAGCACTGAGGGGGAAGGGGGGCAGAAGAAGAAAGAGCATCCTGAAGCAGACTCCCTGCGATGAGCACAGACCCTGACTTGGGGCTCCATCCCAGGACACTGAGATCAGGACTTGGGCTGAAATCAAGAGCTGATTGCTTAACCAACTGAACCGCCCAGATGCCCTGAAATATGATTGATTATTGAGTATTTATCTTGTATTCTGCAACAATGCTAAACTTACTTATTTGTTCTAGGATATTTTGTAGATTCCTTTGGAATTTCTACAGAGATGATCACGTTATCTGTGAGTAGCGCAGTTAGAGTTTTCTTTCCAAAGTGGAGGCCTTATTTTTTTCTTGACTGATTGGATTGGTTAGAATCTCCAGAACAATAGGAGTAGAAGTGATAGGATGGTCATCCTTGACTTGTATGTGATTAGGAGTAAAGCATTCAGTCATTCATCATTAAGTATGTTGTTAGTTACGGTTTTCGTAGATACTTTCTATTAGGTAGAGAGCATTCCCTTCTTACCTTGTTTTCTGACAATTTTGATCAGTAATGGATGTTGGATTTTGTCAAATACTTTTTCTGTGCCTATGGAGATGATCATATGGTTGTATTTTTCAGTCTATTTTTATGGTGAATTACCTTGATTGATTCTCTAATGTTAAAACAGCCTTTTTTGGTGTAAGTCCCACTATCTTTTTGTATATAATTATTATATAGATCTCATATTTTTATATACATCATATTATTGAATTTGATTTACTAAAATTTGCTATAGAATTTTTGCATAATATTTATGAGGGTATTGGTCTATAAATTTTTCTTTCTTTCTTATGATGTCTTTATCTAGTTTCAACATGTGACAATGCTGGTCTCAGAGACAAATTCTGTGGTCTCATAGAAAGATTAGGAATTTCTCTATTTTTCTGTTCTTTTTTTAAAAATTTTTTTACAGGTAATTTTTTTTTAATTTTTATTTATTTATGATAGTCACAGAGAGAGAGAGAGAGAGAGAGAGAGAGAGAGAGGCAGAAACACAGGCAGAGGGAAGAGCAGGCTCCATGCACCGGGAGCCCGATGTAGGATTCGATCCTGGGTCTCCAGGATCGCGCCCTGGGCCAAAGGCAGGCGCCAAACCTCTGTGCCACCCAGGGATCCCCTATTTTTCTGTTCTCTTGAAATAATATTTGCTCATTTCAGGATGTATACTGGAATAATAAATGGTTTTATTTTTTCCTCCAATATTGGTAGTTTGTATTAGTGAAGCCACCTGGGCTTGAAGTTTTATTAGTTGGAAAGTTTGAATTCAAACTTAATTCAACTTAAAACATACAAGGTACTTTTATTCAGCTTATGTATTATTTCTCTGTTAAACTCTAGTAGTTTGCATCTTTTGAGGAATTTGTTCATTTCATCTAAGTTGTAGAATATATTGGCATAAATTCGTTCTTGATATTCTTTCTTATTATCCCTTTAGCATCTGTTGAATCTGTAGTGATGCCACCTTTCTCATTCCTGATATTGGTAATTTTTTTCTTCTCTCTTTTTTTCTGATCAGTTTGGTTAGAGCTTTATAAGTTTAGTTCATCTTCTTAATGCACAAGTTTTGGGTTCATTGATTTTTTTCTATTTTTCTTCTATTTTCTACTTTATTGATATATATTCTAAAGGATCCTCCTGGAAAGGAAGATCATTTGCTACCGTATTATTTTTCAGACATTAATCTCAAAGTTCCTCAGTCACCGAGGGAAATGGTGACTAAACAAATATCTAGTAACCTAGTTCAGTCATCTCCGAAGGAACATGCTCTATCCTAACAAAGATTATGCCCCCAACTTGACTGTAGAATCCCTCACTAAGACTCAGGGTCTTATCTGACATACACCACTGAGCTCACTGATAAAGGTGTGTAGAAAACTCACATAATGCAATTCAGTCCAATCCAACAAAGGGTCCTTGTGTGCTTTCTCTGTGTGAGACATAGCATGGGTCCTGTGGGAGGAGGATGCAAATATGAAGAAAATACATCCTCTGGCCTCAATGAGTGCTTGGTAGAGTGTGGGAGACAGATACAAAGATTCCTGAAGGTAGGTAGCAGGCCAAGTGGGGCAGCCATCACAGGGAGGTCTATAGAGGAATGTACAGAGGAATGCAGTAGCCCAGAGAAAAGAGAGAGAATGCCTAGCAGAGTGCTTTTGGTAAGCATTAGGCAGGTGATCACCCACTGCATGTGATGTGTCTAGGGAAAGTGATTGAATATAGATGACAGTCACATTCCATCAATCAATCCCTAGAATGGTCCATGGAGGCGGGATTTGGCAGTTTTAGCATTTTGGAGCCTCAGAGATTTTGGATATGGAACAAACATGTGGCAATGCGAGGCATCTAAGGGACTCATGTGAATACAGTTCCACTGCCCACGAGGAAGGTAGTGGTAAGTGACTTCAGGCCTTTCCTTTGAAACTTGGATGCCAATATCTTTCTGGGCAAAATTGTCTTATGTATCCTGAGAGTAAAAACCAAAATTTCCTTGGAACAAATTGCAAAGATATCACCTTTTTGAAGTTTATTTTTCTTTTGATCGCTCTGAGTCCTCAAAGGCATTGCTTAATAATTCTGTTTCCAAATGAGTTTTGCGTGACATACAGTGCATGATCTTTGTCCAAGGCAAAGATCAAAAGGTATTCTTATTTGGAAAGTTTACAAGTATGTGTGTCTGCAAATGCTACTCATTCATTATTGTTCTTACCAGTGCATTACTGGCAATGAGTGTAATTTCTTTTTTTACGAATGTGTGGTTACATCCCCTTTCCTGGGACAGGCTTTGTGTCTATACTTCTTCCCCCAATTCTATCACACCAACTCAGATCCCAAGCAGCTGGATTGCCCTGGGCTGCAGTTTTCCAATGGCTGCCACAATTTTGACCGGCTTTCCTCTGTTGTGTGTGTGTCTCCTGCTGACATCTGGCTTTGCTGAGGCAGGCAAGCTGCTGGTAGTACCCATGGATGGGAGCCACTGGTTTACCATGCGTTTGGTTGTGGAGCAACTCATCCAAAGAGGGCATGAGGTGGTTTTAATCATACCAGAGGTGAGTTGGCAACTGGGAAAATCCTCCAATTTTACTGTGAAGATTTATTCCACAACTTACAATCTGGAGGAGTTGAATCAGATGTTCAAGACTTTCTCTTATTCTCAGTGGAAAACTCCGCAGCAAAGCTCACTTTTTTTTGGTCTTAAGTCCATTAAAAGACAGTCTTCAATACCTTTTTTTGTTGTGCCCAAGATTACGTATCTGAGAAACCACCAAGGAGCTGACACCAATGCAAACACATGAGGGTTTATTTACAAGCTCGAGCTTGGGTCCAAGTATACCCGACACAGTGGAGCAGGGACTTGGACCCCGAGGGGGGTTCCAGCTTAGTTCTATGGGCTGGTCTAGGGGACCTCCAGAAGTGGGGGAGGAATTTCTCAAGTTCTGTTTACATTCTGATATAGGGCTTTCGAGGGCATTAAGCTCTGTTCTCATTCTGATATGGGGTTTTCTAGGGCGTTAAGCTGTAAGCTGTTTTTTCCTGTAACTGAAGCAAGGTAAAGTCAGCTCTCTTCACAGGGGCCTGAGATGGCTGTACTTGTGCTAACGCTGAATTTAAGGTGGAATGGCCTAATTTTCTCGGCCTCCACATTTCCCCCTCTCAGAGGAACCTAAGGAAGGACCCAATCATGGGTCCAGGTTGCTCTCAGAGTGAGCCAGGAGGAATGATTAAACCAGGATTCAAACCAACCTTGTTTCTCTTCTTGTTCCCGTTTACGTCTCAGTGAAGAAGCAACCTCCTATGTTTAAGGCAGCACATAACCCCCCCCCCCATGGTTGTAAGAAGACTAAGTCTAATCCCCTTCTATTTTGAAGGACAACTTCAGACTAGGGAGTCTTGGAGGTGGGAAAGAGGTGAGAACGACGCCGTCTTAGCTTAAGGGGATTGTCCTTGTCCGGTTGGCTTTTCCAGTCTGGAACAAAGTCCTTGTGAATGGCATGTGGATCAGCTGGCCAGATGTGGGTGTAGCAGACCCAGGAAGTAATCCCGTCGACCTTGAGAGTGGTGGGAGTGGTCAGGAACATGATGTAGGGTCCCTTCCAGCAAGGTTGAAGTGTCTGGTGTTGGTATCTCTGGACGTAAACCCAGTCACCTGGCCAGTATTGATGGGGGCCCGGGGGTGGCCCAGTCTCATAGAGGCCCTCAGCTTAGGCCACACCTGCTCATGGGTTCGTTGTAACATTTGGAGGGAGAAAAGAAGTTGGTGATTATCAAACTCAGCAAGCACCTTAGGTTTTAAATTGGGGATAATAGGTGGAGGAATACAGAACATGATCTCATAGGGGGTCAGTCCCATCTTATATGGGGAGTTCCTCACCCTATATAGGGTGAAGGGGAGGAAAGTTACCCAGTCCCAGCCAGTCTCCAGGGCTAATTTATTTAAGGTCGCCTTTAATGATCTGTTCATCCTCTCTACCTATCCTGAGCTTTGGGTCTTATATACACAATGTAATTTCCAATCTGCCCCAAGTACTGGTGCCACTCCCTGTGTTACCTTAGAGACAAATCCTGGGCCGTTGTCTGATCCAATCTTTTTTTTTTTTTTTTTTCTGATCCGATCTTAACAGGAAAACCATACCTCGGTAAGATGTCTTCCAGCAGTTTCTTGGTCACACTCTGTGCTGTTTTATGTTTGGAGGTAAATGCCTCTGTCCATCCTGAAAAAAGTATCTACGAACACCAGTAAATACCTGTATCTGCATTTTCTAGGTTTTACCTCAGTGAAGTCCACTTCCCAGTAGGCTCCTGGGCGGTCCCCTCAGAGCCGGGTGCCCGGGTTAGATCCATGGGCGGTGGCATTAGTTAACTGGCATGCGTGGCAGCTCACCTGCTCGATCTTTGCTCAAGAGTCTTTAATAGTGATCTTTGCATGTCATATGAGGTCTTCCATCTTCCTTGTTCCCATATGAGGACTCCGATGCATTTTGGATAGGACTCGCCATCCTAGTTCCTCCGGCAGGATGATGCTGGAGTCTGCGACCCTCCATCAGCCACGCAAGCACTGGGTCATAGGCAAGCGTTTGATCCAGTGTAAGTCAGCATCAACATAGTTGGGGGTGTCTGGCAGGGTCGATGCCCCCAGATCGGGTCCGTGGTTACGGCTGCCCCCAGGTATCTGATTCCTTCTTGGACAAAACTGCCGCCATCCATATACCAGGTGGTGTCCGTGTTCGGCAGTGGCTAGTCCTGGAGATCAGCTCTGATTCTGTGCACCTGTGCCAAAATTTCTTGACAGTCATGCAGAGGGGGGGTCCCAGTCTGGGTTAGGGAGATGAGAGGCATGGGGTATTGGTGGATCCTGACAGGGTCTGCCCCCGGCTTTAGTTCTATGTATATGGCTGGTCGGTGCTGGGCCAGCCCAATCCCCCCAGTTTCTGCCCATGCTTGGGGAACTTCCCGCAGCCAATGGTCAATGTCAGTCATTGGGGCTGAGGGCGTTTGATGGAGATGATATTCGTCTTCTAAATGCAGGATAAGCACCTAAATCAGGTGCCCCTCCTTGTTTAGGATTTTTGCCCCTTTGGGATGGAAGCGAATTTGTGCCCCCATCTTGGTGAGCAAATCCCGACCTAACAATGGGTAGGGACACTCAGGGATGACCATGAAGGAGTGGGATACCTGGCCCATGCCGAGATCCACAGTTCTTCGGGTAGTCCATGAGTACTGTTTGGTGTCTGTGAACCCTTGCACCCATGAAGTCTTGCTTGCCAATTTCCTTTGGGGTTGTAATAAAACCGAATGTTGTGCCCCAGTGTCCACTAGGAATTCAACGGGTTGCCCCTCCACTCTGAGAGTTACCCTAGGCTTGGGGAGGGGTGCCAAACCCCGACTCCCCTAGTCGCCCAGGTCCTCCATCTCCAAGATCTTGGGAGGGGCCTTAGATCTTTTGTTAGGGCACTCTTTCACCCAGTGGCCCTCTTCCTTGCAATAAGCACATTGGTTTTTGTTCAGCTTAGGGCGCTCCTGACGGGGACCAGGGCCATCCTCCTTACCTGTCCCCAAAGCCAGCTTATTGAGGTGCCTCCGTCTTTCCCATGGGTCGTCCATGGTTGTGGCCAGCAGGATCTTGGCCAGGTTTCGGGTCTGCCAGTCACTTAGTTTGGTTTGATGCTCTTTCAGACTTTCTCTATTATTATAGACTCTTTCTGTTACTATTACTAAACCCTGCAAGCTCTTCTCTCCCAGTCTCTCTACTCTTTGCAATTTCTTTTTAATTTAATGTCCAGAGCAGCCTGGTTAACAAAGGCCATGATAATTGCGGCCTTTGTTTCCGGGGCTTCTGGGCTCATGGGGTGCACTGCCTAAAAGCCTCCATGACTCTCTCTAAGAAGGCTGCTGGACTGTTGTCCTTGCCCTGTCTCACATCAGACCTTGGCCAGATGGGTAGTCTTGTGCGCGGCAGCCTGGTGACTTGCCAGCAGAGTCTGGCGGTAGAGCCGGAGCCTCTCATTACCTTCAGCCAAGTTGTGGTCCCAGGTGGGGCAGGATAAGGGGAAGGCCGCGTTTAAGAGGTCTGAGTTTTGGGTGGGCTATCTGTCTTCTCCCAGGACAGACTTCCGGGCTTCCACCTGAACTCGTTCTCTCTCTTCGGTGGTGAAGAGAACCTATAAGAGCTGTTGGCAGTCCTCCCAAGTAGGCTGGTGGGTAAAGAGAACAGTATCTAAGAGCCCGGTTAGATCTCTCAGATTATCAGAGAACTTTGCACAGACAGTTATGACAGTTAACAAGGACACAGTAACGCAGACAAACGTTCCAGTGCGGCAGCGGAGACAAAACAAAAAGTAAACTGAAGGGCTGCCAGCCGGCCCTCCTTACAGAGGAGGACCCCGTCCTTCTTACAGACGAGGACCTCCGCCCTCCTTACAGATGAGGACCTCTGTCCTCCTTACAGACGAGGACCCCATCCCCCTTACAGACGAGGACCTCTGTCCTTCTTACAGATGAGGAACTAAGTCCCCCTTACAGATGAGGACCTCCGCCTCTTACAGATGAGGACCTCCGTCCTCCTTACAGACGAGGACCCTGTCCTCCCGGCGGGGGCAAGGGACATCTCCTCAAGACCCCCGGTTGACAACCCACCAGCACGTCCACCTAAGCCAATATCGACCCAATACAGATTGGAATTCCTACAGGTAAAAGTACAATTTAGAGCTCTCAGAGAATATGCACGCAAAAGGTGGAAAAAGTTGCGTGCACTCACCACGCGTGAAACCCTCTGGATGGGGTCCTTGGGGTCTCTCGGATCCCGGACAAGTCCCCAGATGTTGTGCCCAAGATTACATATCTGAGAAACCACCAAGGAGCCGACACCGATGCAAACACATGAGGGTTTATTAGCAAGCTTGAGCTTGGGTCCAAGTGCACCCGACACAGCGAACAGGGACTTGGACCCCGAGCGGGGGGTGGGGGTGGGGTTCCAGCTTAGTTTTATGGGCTGGTCTAGGGGACCTCCAGAAGTGGGGGAGGAATTTCTCAAGTTCTGTTTACATTCTGATATGGGGCTTTCAAGGGCATTAAGCTCTATTCTCATTCTAATATGGAGCTTTCTAGAGGTTAAGCTGTAAGTTGTTTTTTCCTGTAACTGAAGCAAGGTAAATGTCAGCTCTTCTTCACAGGGGCCTGAGATGGCTGTACTTGTGCTAACGCTGAACTTAAGGTGGAATGGCCTTAATTTTCTCGGCTGCCACATTTTTAACATTGTAAGAATTTGTTTAGTGATGCAGATTTTTTTTAAAAGATTTTATTTATTTATTCATGAGAGACAGAGAGAGAGAGGCGCAGAGACACAGGCAGAGGGAGAAGCAGGCTCCATGCAGAGAACTTGATGCAGGACTCCATCCCAGGTCTTCAGGATCATGCCCTGGGCTGAAGGTTGAGCCACCGGGGCTGCCCTAGTGATACAAATAGAATTCCTAAAGGAGAGTTCTTTTGATGCAGTGTTTCTGGATCCTTTTGATGTGTGTGGCTTAATTGTAGCCAAGTATTTTTCACTCCCATCCGTGGTCTTCACCAGGGGATTATTTTGCCATTTTCTTGAAGAAAGCACACAGTGCCCCAGGCCCCTTTCTTATGTTCCTGGACTTTTCTCCATGTTGTCAGATGCCATGAGTTTCAGAGAGAGAGAGAGTGAGGAATCATATCTCCCACTTGGAGGAACATTTATTTTGCCACTATTTTTTAAAAACTCAAGAAGTTGCATCTGAGATTCTCCAAACGGCTGTCACGCCTTATGATCTCTATAGCCATACGTCAATTTGGTTGTTAAGAGCTGACTTTGTTTTGGACTATCCCAAACCTGTGATGCCCAACATGGTCTTCACTGGAGGCATCAACTGCCAGGAGGGAAAGCCATTGCCAAAGGTAAATTACCTCTTCTTTTGCATAGTAAGAATAATCTGGCTTTGGGCATTAGGGAAAAAAAAAAAAAAGATTCCTACTGAACTCCAGATTTGACATTTACATTCCTTACATTTGGAGATTTTTTTCCTGGTTGAAAGAATTCTTTTGTGCCATTTTATTGATTCCTGCATTAGCAAATCTTATAAAGTTGCCCTCTTTGACATGTATATATATACAATTGCTATAATTGTATATAATTTCTAGGGTGCGTTTTGTAGTACTATCCTTTGGAAACTACTGAAAAACACAGTAAGAAGTGAAATTTCACTTTTTAAAAATTCTAATGCCATCTCTTTTAGGAAAATGCCCTTAGCAGTTTTGTATGCTGCTTTTCTTTTCCCATTTCTGAAATTATATATATATATATATATATATACACACACACACACATATATATATTATATTATATATAATTATATTATATTATTATTAATTATACATATATAATTATATATATGTGTATATATATACACACACATATATCTAATGTAAATTGTCACATCTGTATTATTAATATAAAATATAGTAATTGATTGGACATATTGTTCTTTACCTTGCTTTTTTTTTTTTAAAGATTTTATTTTTTTATTCACTTGAGACAGAGAGAGAGAGGCAAAGACCTAGGCAGAGGGAGAAGCAGGCTCCTTGCAGAGAGCCTGATGGGAGACTAAATCCGAAACCCCTGAAACATGCCCTGAGCCAAACCACTGAGCCAAATTCTTTATTTTGGGTACACTATAGTTCATTCAACTCATCCATACTGATAGATATTTAAGCTTTTCCCACTGTTTCCTTTATAAGCAAGATTGTACTAAACATTCTTAAATAATTTCTTTGCATGCTCACATTTCCACATTCTTTCTCTTCTCTTCTCTCTGTAGGCTGAATGTCCTTAGGAGTAGGGCTTGCTGGGCCATATGGTATACTCATATTACCTTTTAATTAATTCGAGAAATTGCTTTCAAAAGATTGAACATTCTGACACTTTGATGAACAGTACATGAGAGCTCTAGTTTTTCCATACCCTCTCCAGCTTTAGATGTCATCAGACTTTCAAGACTCTTTTAACAAAAAAATTCTACATAGCTGCTTTGATTTTCATACATAGATTGGTCACTTGATTTCATCTTTTGGGAATTATGTATTCACCTTCTTTAGTCGTTTGTCTAGAGTCCTTTGTCTTTTTATAGCTAATGACTGTAAGTCTCTTGAGTAGTAGGACTATTAATATTAACACTTTTTATGTATTGCAAATATTTTTTTTGACTACTCTTTATCTTTTGTCATATAGAGTTTTCTTTTTGGTTAATGAAACTTGTTACCATTTTTCCTAGTGGTTTCTGGATTTCACCTTGTTTAGGTCTTTCCAAGCCTGAGATACATAAACATTTTTTCCATACTATGTTTTAGTATTTTATTTTTATTTTTATTTTTTTTTTAAAGCCAATTATTTTATTGAAGGAGATAAGCAAATGCCCATTGTTGGCAAAGGGAAGAGACATGTTGGAAGTCAGGTGTGTTCGCAGATGAGAGAGAGTAACCAAGGCTCCACCCAACAAATATTCAGAATCAGGGCTTCTGTATTTCTCCATGGCTTGACTTCTCATGGGTCACTTTCCAGTCAAAGGATTCTGGAGACCAAATCAGGTAAGATTCTTTCGGTTATCAACCAATAGTCTTTACATCTTCTCTCAGCCAAGGCATCCAGAGAAATTATACAGGCAACCTTAGAGATACTACAAGTTTGGTTCCAGACCATCACGGTAAAGCAAATATAACAAAGTGAGTCAAATGAATTTTTTGGCTTCCCAGCACGTATGAAAATTACATTTATACTATCCTGTAGTATATTAAGTGTATCATAGCATTATGTCTAGAAAACAATGTACATGCCTTAATTAAAAAATACTTTATTGCTAATAAAGTACTGGAAGGTCTTGCTTCAGTGTTGCTGCAGTTTCTACATTGGCACTTGCGGCTTCACCACGCGCTTTTAGGTTATAAAGACAGCTTCTTTGCTTTAAACCTCACAAATCAGTGTCTACAAGCTTCAAACTTTTCTTCTGCAGCTTCCTCACCTCTTGGCCATCACAGAATTGAAGAGAGCTAGGACTTTGCTCTAGAGTAGGCTTTGGCTTAAGGGAACGTTTGATCTTCTATCCAGACCACTGAAACAAGGCTGTTTTGCTTCCTTACCATTTGTGTGTTCACTGGAGTAGCACTTTTGCTTTCCTTCAAGAACTTTCCCTTTGTATTTGGCAACTTGGCTCCAGCCTATCTCGGCTTTCAATATGCCTTTCTTGCTGAGCTTATCACTTCTACCTTTTGACTTACAGTGAGAGATGAAGGACCCTTCCTTTCACTTGAATACTTAGAGGCCATCGTAGGATTACTAACTGGCCTAATTTCAATATGTTGAGTCTCAGGGGGTAGGGAGGCCCAAGGACAGGAAGAGACAAGGGAATGGCTGGTTGGTGAGCAGTCACAATACATAGAACACTGATTAAGTTCACTGTCTTATACGGGCACACTTTGTGGCACCCCAAAACAATCACAATAGTAATATCACAGATCACCATAAGAAATATAATAATAATTACAAAGTTCAAAATATTGTAAGAATTACCAAAATGTGATACAAAGACACAAGGTGAGAAATGCTGTTGGAAAAATGGCGCCAATAGACTTGCTTGTGCCAGGTTGCCACAAACCTTCAATTTGAAAAAAATGCATTATCTGCGAAGTTCAATAAAACGAAGCACAATAAAACAAGGTATGCCTGTAATTTATTTTTCAGATTCCTCTGCGGGATTAAAAAGTCTTTTTCTCATCGCATTGCCATGCTCCCTGCTCTTGGTCCTCTTTTCCATGTACTCATTCTTCAAGCATTTTCTCATCTCCCGATCAAGATCATTGCAACGACCAAAAAATTTCAGAATGCTGTGATTTTTGTGACATTCCTTAAGCAAGTTAATCAAGACGTTGCATTCTTCAGAGTGCAAGTGTGGAGATAAGTCAGGATGCATCTTTAGGAGGTGACGGAGCACAGCAGGGCAACCCGCCTTGCGGCCACACCGGGCCGGCCGAAGCCACCGTCACCAGCGAGGCCTCCCCATCCAAAGGCCGGCCCCCGGGACGCCGGGGGCGGGGCAGCTCCGCGAGGCGAGGGCTCCCGCGCCCTCCACGGCTGACCCCGCGGGGCTCCGGCCTGTTTTAGTATTTTTAATTCTTCCAGTGTTAATACGTTTATTACAGTGAAGAATTTACATGGTATAAAGATCTAACATTATTATTTTTCTAAATGGATAGTTCATTGTCCCAACATCATGTAATGAAGAAATCCATTCTTTATCTGTTGAAATGCATCTTTATCATATTTTAAATTTCCAGATTTATTTACTTTTTTTAAAAAAAGATTTTATTTATTTATTCATAGAGACACAGCTAGAGAGAGAGAGGCAGAGACACAGGCAGAGGGAGAAGCAGGCACCATGCAGAGAACCCGATGCAGGACTTGATCCCCAGTCTCCAGGATCAAGCCCTGGGCTGCAGGCAGCACTAAACCGCTGTGTCACTGGGGCTGCCCTTATTTACTTTTTTGAACTCTACTTTTGAACTTTCAGTTTTGTTCTATCAATTTATTTATTTACTCATGTGGCAGTATCATATTTTTATTGTAGTAGCTCTATAGTCTGTTTTAATATATAATAAGGAAATCCCCATAGTCACTATTTTTTCTATATTTTCTTGGTGATTCTTGTTTTTGCTTCTCTTTCACAAAATTGTGAATTGCTTTGTCTAGTTTCAAAAATAAAATAATAGGGTTCTGTTTATATGACAAAAAGGTCTTTGTTAATTTGAGAAAGATTGACATCTTTTTGCTTTGATGTTTTCCTACTTAGAGTTGTAATATTTGTCTTTATTCAGATCTTACTTTATGTGTATTAATAAAAGTTTGCAATTTACTTTATATGCCTTTCACTTTTCTTGTAACGTTTATTCCTAGGCATATTACTATTTTTGAAACTATTGTGAATAGGGCATTTTTTTCATTGCTATTTTGAAGTGATTTTTAGTAATCAATTTTTAGTATAAAAATTTTTAGTAATTTTTAGTGTAAAGTAATGTATAGCTTTGGTTTTTGCACATTTATCTTCTATCTAAACACACTCTTAATTTCTCTTCTTAGTTTCTAAGACTCTTAGGTATATAATATCATCTGCCTGTAGTAATCCTTCCCCGTAATTCATGCTTCTTATTTTGCTTTATTGGAGCATGTACCTTCAAAACATTGTTGAACAATTAGTTCAGAACAATTATTTGATAGTTCCTGAATAATGTTAAATAGTTGGTCTGGCCAGTTTGATTTGGGATTCAGTCCCTGCAATTGACAAGGTCTTGACAAATACAGGAGTAAGATTCCTCATGAATACATTGCAACTAAATCCAGATGAAATATCTTATGGTATATTTCAGTTAATTATTTTATTAGGGACGTATTGTACATTTTATCTACTGATCTGGCTATTGAAGGCTCAGTAAATTGTAAAAGTCATATTTTCCCATATAGTGAGAACCTGATTTTCCCCGTTGAACTAAACAGTGGCTAGGATTGGACCATGCCCTCAGTGAATCTGTATTGTGGGCATGCTGTTTATGTAACTCAGACTACCCACAGCCTGAACCACTTCTGGAAAGACAGCATTTTGTAAGAGGGTTCTGCTCACCTTGTCTTGCATACCACAGGCACCAGAATTTTCACATAGCTGGAGAAATTGTGCTCAGATTACACACACACACACACACACGTATATGAAACCTAAGATGATAATGATGGGTTTATTTAGCATGACTGCAGGCAAATGAGAATGAAGGTATCTGTTGACCTGTAGGATATGCAGACTTATGTAATGCATGACATTTACCTCAAGAAATTTGGGGGGGCAAAATAATCATTAAGCAATTCCATCATCCATACATTAAGAGTGATTAAGAGTGAATTTAAGTGTTGTAACAGGGATCGTGTTAATTTGTGTAAATTAAAGATGTTGCATCAGAGATTGGTAAACTTTTTTTAAAATTTATTTTATTTTTTTATTGGAGTTCAGTTTGCCAACATATAGCATATCACCCAGTGCTCATCCCATCAAGTGCCCCCCTCAGTGGTAAATTTTTTTGTAAAGGGCATGAAGGTAAATATTTTAGACTTTGTAGCATCATATTCCATCTGTGTCTTGTAAACTTTTTGTCTGTTTGTTGGCTTGTTTGTTTACTGCTCTTTAAAAATATAAAATCCATTCTTAGCTCATGAGCCATACAAAAATAGGTTGCTCAGATTTTTCTATCCCTTTGGAGGTGGAGAACAAGATTTCTGGGCTCCTTCAGGGAAAAGTCAGAAATGAGAAGACTGAAGAAGAAGGGGGATCTAGTAAGAAAACATAAGTTTTAGATAAATGGTAATACTTTATTATCCTTGAAAAAAGCCATTGCACCACCAGGTCATGAAAGTTTATTAGTAAATGAATGCTACTGGTACAAAGCAGGGTTACTGAATTTGAATTTAGAGCACTCAAGAGGTGACCGAAGTGCTCATGATCAGCTGTGGGATCATGACTGGTGTTTGCAGTTTTTTTTTTTAAGATTTTATTTATTTATTCATGAGAGACACAGAGAGAGAGAGAGGCAGAGACACAGGCTCCATGCAGGGAGCCTGATGCAGGACTCGATCCCAAATCCTGGGATCATGCCCTGGGCCCAAGGCAGGCGCTTAACCACTGAGTCACCCAGGCGTCCTTGTGTTTGCAGTTATTTTTAAAGAAAAGTACTGTGATTGGATGCAGAGGTCATGTTTCTCCTAATACAATTGGGGTTGCAACATCCCCATTCATACATCTTTCCATCAATAACAAATACATGGAAGTAGGATAATTTTGTAATGCTCTTGACTCCCAGGTACCCCTATTTTAGGATTTGCACATGTCTCTGAACCCTTGTGGTTAATGGGGTCTTTGACTGGCTCATTTGACTCCCCTTCTCTTTGGTTTTTTACTTCTGGCTTTTCCCTGGGGGCAGGGACAGAGACCTTGTCCCTCACTCCAAAAGGATGGGACATTTCCTGGGTCACATCATTGGGCTTTCTGTCTGCTGCACATCCCAGCAGTGCTTCAACTAGTGCTTCCTGAAGGTAAAAAACAAAAGGCTTTTCTTTCTTCCTGAAAAGACACTCGTTTCCATAGACTTTGTTGGGAAGCTATCAGGCATGTTACTAAGAGATGTTGCAGTGTGATGATCCTACACTGACATTTTCCAGACAGACTTGCATTGGGGATGCAATGGAACTAGGTCTGTGCTACAGCTGGGAGGGCCAGAGCTCTGGTCCAGGGCACAGAGTCAGGAAGTGGAAATGCCCATATGGTGCGTGGATGTGCACAGAAAGGGGAACGTGGAACCCCATAGCCAGGGAAATCTGGGAGGGCTCCAGAGACTAGATGATTCAGAGCTGGGACGGGAAGCCTATCTGGAAAAGTGGAAGGAGTGTCTGACCTTACAAATAGGCCTGCCTTACGCCTTATGGTCTCTTGGACATAGGCCAGTGGCCCCTTGAACACTCAGTTTCAGCCCAGCCCGGCCCCTCTTCAGGCTACATCAGAACTGGGGCACACAGCAGCCTTGTGGCCCCTTGAACACTCAGTTTCAGCCCAGCCCAGCCCCTCTTCAGGCTAGATCAGAACTGGGGCACACAGTAGCCTTGGAGAGGTTAGCTCTTACTTCTTCAAGTAAGAGCTAACCTCTTACTTCATACTTGAAGAAGTAAGAGCTAACCTTTCTTTAGAGTGACTGTCAGGTACCTGGGCCTAGAAGCAGAGGGAGTCTGAGCACAGGGGTGTCAGTGGTGTCCTGAGTTGAGCTCATATTAACTTGGAATTGCTGCTGATACACTCAGGCTGGTAGAAGCCGGGTAAAGGCTGCCCAGAGGCACCTGTTTGTGGCTGTTGTATGGTAATGGGGCCGCAGGCGGCTCTCAATCCTGCTGCCATGGCTCCTTAGGCAGTTGTTAGTAACCCAGCTGGCAGAGCAGTGCCGCCCTCATCCTGTCTGGCATCATTTGCCTGTCTTCTCTGCTGGAAGAGCTCCCCTGGAGGCCAGGGTTAAGCCTCCATCTTTTTGATTTTTCCTTAATCTATTTCATTTTTAGGAGAAGTTTTAGATTCACAGCAAAGTTGAGTTGAAGAGGCAAAGGCACACCATATACCCTGGATCCTTATTGGCCCCTAAAGTCTAGTCCTATGCTCTCAACCCTACACATTCTCTGCAGATGGTTGGTATATAAGTGACTTGTCAGCCACCAATGGGAAAGGGAAATCACACTCTTTAGGCCTGTCAACATTAGGCTTGGCTTTCTGCTCTTGGTAAGAACAGGCTGTGGTTCTCTTGATGGCAAGGAGATCAAGTTGCAGGATTCTGAGAGGCTGAGCCTCCCTGTTTGCTCTGTATCAGTGAAAGTGCCAAGCACCACCTGTTTACCACCTGCACCCTTGCCCTCTACCCTGGGGTAAGATCCCAAATGCTTCCCAAACCAGTGCTATACTGGATCACTCAGAGGATTTTAGAGATGTGTAAAGCCATATATGATTTCATAGCTACCTACTATATAGAGATCCATAAAATATATTGAACCATATACAGTTTTGTATGTTTGGCTATTCATATCTTCGAATATTTTAAAATTTTATGGTTTTATATATCTATTAAAGGGTGTATATGTATGAAAGGCTTTAATATATGTAAAAGGTTATATATTTATAAATGTGCTTCTATTTTTGCAACATATATTTATAAATATAATTTTAAAGTAAGTATATTCTTGCTTTATACCCAATGTGGATTTTGAACCCATGACCCTGAGATCGAGTCACATGCTAAAAAAAAAAAAAAAGAGTCACATGCTTTCCTGACAGAGCCAGCCAGGTGTCCCAAAGTAAGCATAATTATTTATGAGGAATTCTGATCCTAAAGAGGAATTCTGAAATTAAGTAGACTCCCTTAACAAAAAACACTGGATACGGCATAACTGCAAAAGTCCATTTTCATCAAAAGACCAATGGACATTGCTTATTTCTCCTGCCTTGTTTCAGATGGGCAGGATGTCTCTTGGAAAAAGCACATAGTTTGTTGTACCTTGCTTGAGAACAGGAGTCATAGTCTGGATCTCATCTGTCTGATAGAAGAAAACATAGCCTGATGATAGTGTGTTATGCACATGTGCATTTTAGTGTGTGCATGTGTGTGTTTGTAGTCCCGTGTCTCAAGTGCCATGAGGGAGATTTTCCTAAGAGTCTCCTACAACAAAATCTCCTTTAATCTGTCCAGTGGAGTTATATTCAGGGATGTAATTAAATACTTTCACATGGATGGCAGATTATCATTCAGGAAAACACTAAAGTAGTTTTAGTGGGGAAAAAATCATTTCCAGAATTTTTCAATTTTTAGTGAGTTCTAACAATTGATTACTGGGTCCAGCTAGAAAGAATTCAGTCTGAGTCTATTCAATTCAGGGCAGTTGCTCTAGCTCTGGAGAAATGGAAACAGCAAGAGTTTATGCATGCTTCTTCGTTTCTCTCAGCTTCTGGCTTCATCCCAAAAGTCAAATTCAAATTCAAATGTATCTGTTAGTGGGGAAACCCAGCACCTCTCACTAAGATTATTTATTTCAACT